CAGAAAAAAAGTGGCTGGAGTCCCTAGATCTGAAGCTACAGGTTATTGTGAGCCATGGGGTGGGTACTGGAACCAAATCCAGGACCTCTGCAGGAACTCAAGTGCTCTTAACTCTGGATCCATCTCTCCAGCCCTTTCCCAGTATTCTTAAATATCTGGGTGTTATTTATTCTGCCTGCTAATTTCTTTTACAAAACCTTACTACAAGGTACTCAGACCATCAAAGCTCACTATATGGCTTCATAATACTGTGCTCTGACGGCTGTGTTCCCACAAACTCTTGGGTGCAACATAATCCCTAGGAAAATACTGGAGGAGGGACCCTGGGGAAGTAGAGGACTGTCCCTCAGGAAACTAAAAGCCTCTTCTACCTCACCAAGCTCCAGCAGGGAAACCCCAACTATGAAGAACAGGCCTCCACCATCAACAAACCTTTACTGCCCTGAGGAGAATGATCTGTAACAAAACAAGGAAGTAAAAATTACCTTTAGAGGATTAAAGAAAAGGGAAGAAAGGAAGAAAGGAAAGAAAGAAAAGGAAGAAAAAAGAAAGAAAGAAAGAAAGAAAGAAAGAAAGAAAGAAAGACCCCAATTCAACAAGCTGTAATTATAAGCCATAATCCCTGGTCCAGGAGGCTGAGCTAAAAGGGTTCTGATTTTGAGTTCAGGCTGGGTTACAGAGACATTCCTAACCCAACTATGAAGAACAGGCCTCCACCATCAACAAACCTTTACTGCCCTGAGGAGAATGATCTGTAACAAAACAAGGAAGTAAAAATTACCTTTAGAGGATTAAAGAAAAAGAAAGGAAGGAAGAAAGGAAAGAAAGGAAGAAAGAAAAGGAAGAAAAAAGAAAAAGAAAGAAAGGAAAGAAAGAAAGAAAGAAAGAAAGAAAGAAAGAAAGAAAGAAAGAAAGAAAGAAAGAAAGGCCCCAATTCATCAAGCTCTAATTAACAAGCCATAATCCCTGGTCCAGGAAGCTGAGCTAAAAGGGTCCTGATTTTGAGTTCAGGCTGGGTTACAGAGACATTCCTAAAATAAAACAAACAGGCAAGTGGAGTTGACTTCCCCATTTTAACCAGTCTCATCTAGACCTTTGGTTATTTTGGTAGTTAGCATGAAATAAGTAAATGTTCAAAAGGCAAAGGCAAATGTTTAATAGAAACCTTACTGTATGGGAGAAAAGATAAACTTGGAACTTTGTTTCCTGACCCATATATATATGCCAGTATAAAATAACCTGGTAATTCATGTCTACCCAAATGATTTGACTAAGTTTTATACCTTTTCTTTCACACAAAAACAATTCACTTTAGTGATTACTGTAACCATTACAATTTTAATTTCAAATAACAACAGCAATTAAATGTTGATCATTAATTTTTCTGATAATTTTATTATACTACATAGATCTGTATTTCTTGTGATCCAAGAAACATCAAAAATCTAAAATTTGTTCTTAAAAATACAATATTGCACTTTAATTTTTGGCAATTTAATTAAAGGATATAGGAGTAAAAAAATCATACACATACAATTTTTGTCTCAATTTATAATCAACAAAAAACTATTAGAGCTTACAGAAGTGCCCCAAATCAAATATGTACAGTGTAGAGGGAACATTTCACCTGTAAGGAATGTCCAGTGTCCTGCATATAAATACCTCCTGTCAAAGCCAAGCACTGCCTATCCCCATTCTGCCGAAGGGTATTGGTGAGAAATGTTTCTGTCATCTTTGTCAAGACAACACAAGCAAGGAAGTTTGTTCTTAGAGCAGTAAGCTCATGATACTGTTCTCTGAAGGACCTGAAGAACTGTCCTCCAGAACTAGGGTCCCAAGCTAAGCACCCCTTTGTAAATAGCTTCTCTGTACCTAACATCTTTTACCATTACAGATGTAGATGTTAGTTGACATGTAATTTTATGGTCAGTTTTCTGTACTATTTCTAAGATGCATAAGGATAGCAGAGGCAGGTGTGTACCTCAGACATAGGAAATACTCCTATTAGAGTCCATGAGGCTTTGGGCATGTCTGATCCCTGTCACTACCAAAAGAATACTGAACATGTATCTGCTAAATTACTGTTACCTTTTGTTACAGTGCAGCAGGTGGACATAACATTTACACTGACCCAGATTTGCTATTTTATTTTTTTAATTCACAATTAGGTAAACATTATAGAAAGCTACTTTTTTCCCTGTCATTTTAAAAACTTGATCGATTAGGAAGGCAGTTTTGAAATAGCTATTTGCAAAAACAGACACCAAGGTTTAGACCCACTCAACAGTCTACTAAACCTCCAGAGTCAAAAGGAACATAAATAGAAAACATTTATAATATAAATATATGACAGAGACATTTATTTTTGGCACCACTAAAAGACATCTGGTAGCATTTTATTAATTCTCAGTTCCTTGGGAATGCTCAACACTTCTAGCCATTAACTATTTTCTTTTCCTCGAGAGGAAAAATGATGCATGGACAAGAACTGAGTATTTCAAAAGCAAAGGGTTTCTTTTTGTTTTCTTCTAGGGGCTGCAAGTGAGTAGCTAGCTGTTAATGTCCACAAGCAGCCAGAATGTTTAACCTGCCTTTGCATTTGATTCCCACCAAGAAGCATATTTCAAATAGTGACTTATCATGAGAAGACAGGGTTTCACCTTAAACCACCATGTACCATTTGCATAGTTCTGCTATGATAAAAGTCATAGAATTATAATGCATCTTATCTTAACTGTAACAGACTATCAAAAACAGTCTATCTTGGATGTGTTAGTGTAAACTTAACAGGGAAAAAACAGTCAATAGCAAAAAGTTATCTTTAAAAATAGGTTAATGCTAATAATAATAGCTTAAAATTTTTGTTTAAAAATAAGCTTAATAAACGAATACAAATTTCAGTTCAAAACTCAGCTCTTTTGAAATGCCCTATTTCTTGCTTACAGCAGAAAATACGTATTTCATAGTTTTCAACATTACATGTAAAAATGAGGCACTGGTATACATAGTTGAATATATTCACACAAATCGGCGTTTCCATCTCCTCTGCAAGCTTGAATTTGCCCAATGGTTTCTGAACATCAAACTGTTCACAAAAATAAGTCTTCTGAAGGAGGGGCGTAAGAAAAGCCAACAAATGCATCATCTGCCTCCAGAACACTGGCATTCACTATGGAATAGTCAGAAGACACGCACACAGAATAGGGAACTGCTTCTTCCGTGAAGACTGTGTCAAAGTTCCTGATATCATCCGGTCCCGCCTAAAACACCAAAAATACAGGATCATTTACCTTTGCTTTTCTGTCATCAACTTATTATTAAGGTGAAATTTGTTTATTTTGACATGTTAAAAATTTTACTGTTAAGTAGGGAGATGATTAAGGTAAGAAAGGCCAGCATAGCAAGGTTGCATGTGCTTACACACACACACACACACACACACACACACACACACACCCGACTCCACCTTTCTCTCTATACCTCACCATCCCTAAGGGCAGAAACACGGCTCAGGAAGTGCTCCAGGACAGTGTTTTACTTTGAGCTTGCCTGTTCAGTATCAACTTTGGAGAGGTGACACTTTCTCCTGGAGGAGTGAGGCTGTTTTAAGCAAAGCTGTGAATGGCAGCTCTGTGGTGCTACAGAGATGGTCATGAAGCTCTTGGTGAGGACAACCTTAGCTGGAAAGGTCTGAGGGATCAGCTGATGGGACAGTAAGATGAGCAAGGCAGATGCTTAGCTCCAAGGCAGTATTTCTCACTCACTGTGATGACACCAACCTTTCCCTTCAACTACATTTACAGATAGGAACTGAGATACAAATTCAAGTGATGTTCTGGTAAAAGGCATGCTAAACCTCCAGGCTATTTCTGCTCTACAGGAAAGGGATTTCCTTAACAGGTCCAGGTCAAGAAAGGGATAGGGATTCAGGAAGAGAAAATAACCTCAGGATATTAGTACTGTAAGTCTACAAATTAATCAGAGAACAGGGAATGAACCTGAGATGCTAAATTCTTCCATATAAGAAAACCTCCCTCAGAGTAAAGGTCTCTAGGGATTATAGCATTCAAGATTTTAGAAACTAAAGGAATTTAAAAGGAGCTGAAGAAGCCGGGCAGTGGTGGTGCATGCCTTTATCACAGCATTCAGGAGACAGAGGCAGGTGGATCTCTGAGTTTGAGGTCAGCTTGGTCTACAATGCTACACAGAGAAACCCTGTCTTGGGAAAAACAAACAAACCCAAAAGCAACAAAAGGAGGGGGGGGGGCAGAAGAGATGGCTCAGTGGCTAAGAGCACTGGCTGCAGGTAGACCCAGTTTAGCGCCTTTTCACTAACTCAACCTTCTGTTCAAGCCCGTCTCCATTACTTTGTGTAATGGACCCCAGTACGCTGGGACTCAATACCTTTCTTGTCCTCCATTACGATCTTTTCAGATTTACTCTTAGTTCTATAGCAGTCTACTTGCAGGAGGCCCTTCTCCCACCCAACCTCATTCCCTGAGGACGCCACCTTTTAGTGCAGATGCAGCTTAGCTCTTTCACACCAACCCTTTGTGCCTTTCCTCCAAGCCCACGTCCATTCCTTTCTGTTACCCCCTGACTAGCAAAGGTACTCTCTGCCAGGGACCCCACAGCCACCACACTTGTTCAGGATCCAGAGAGGGCAACAGCAACCAAAGGACAGAACTCTCACCCAACAGTGCCAAGAGCAGAGAGTGACTCCAAGAAGACCCTTGAATACTGTAACTCAGATGCTTGGATTCCAGCACAAAAAAAGCAAAGACAATGTGCCTCTACCAAAACCCAGCAGGCCCTGGAAAAGGCAAATGGCAGACACACAAGTCAAAGACTTCAAAAGCGCAATTATGAATATAAAAACCTTAGAGAGGATAGGATATGAGTAAGTTCCCTTAATGAAGTCTGTAAAAATGCAAACAGTTGAATAAAATAATGAAAATAACTCTAGACAGAAAAGTAAAATATAACAACAAAAAAGAATCCGAAGAAAACCCAAACTGAAATGAAACCGCAAATGAAAAATTTAGGATGTCAAAAAATAACCTCAGAGGTAAGCCCCACCAAGTGCTATGTAATGGTTTCCTCTCAGATTGAAACATTCCATCCTACAGGGCAACTCCTTAAACAGGAAGGTAAACAACTCAAAATAGCTTCAGGAAGTCCCTGAAACTGATCAAATTCAGTAGGCATCTCCCTCTCAAAATAAAGAAGCCAAGCTTCAGAGAAGATTTGGAGGCCAAACAAGCCACCCAGAAGAAGCAGAAATCACCGACTTGCCTCCAAGAGGTTTAGACCAACTGAGCCTCGGGAAGGGATACTCTCCAACCTGTTGAGCTGCCTGCAGGCTGTGCAGTGCAGTGTGTTCCAGGTTCCCAGATTTTGTGAGATGTTACCCATGCTCGAGTGGGCTTTGGTGATGCAGCTGTTTGACTCATTTCTGCTCCTGTAAGTGACCCTTTACCATATTCCTGTAAGTAACCCCAATAGAACTTACTGCTTCACCGAGTTGAACTTTGGTGGTATCTGTAGTTTGGTCTGTCATGGGATCTCTATCTTGGGTGAGTAGATGTGTGTGTTGCACCTCCCCAGGAAAAGCCTTGCTACACAACACCAACTTAATACCAAACATGAAGGAGTTCAACAGAAGGTAGAAGAGTGAGTTAGTTCAGTCAAAGAAAATGTTAAACCTACAAACAAAAACAACAAAACAAAAAAGAACAACAACAACAAAAAAAAAAACCAAAAAAACCTGAAGCAAATATGCAGGGAATCTAGGATACTATTAAAAGACTAATTTAAAAATAATATGTGTAGAGGGAGAAGAAACCCAAGTCAAAGAGAATTTTTTTTTTTTTTTTTAAAGACAAGGTTTCTCTCTTTTTAACAGCCCTGGCTGTCCTGGAACTCACTTTGTAGATAAGGCTGGCCTCGAACTCACAGAGATCACTCTGCCTGGGATTAAAGACGTGTGCCACTACCACCCGGCCAGAAAACACTTTAACACTTTCCACAAAATCATAGAAGATGAATTTCCCCAATCTGAAGAATGAGGGCGAAGCCAACTGTCATTGGCATTCTCCTTTAGGCACAAGCAAGTGAACCTGAATTTGAGGCCGGCCTGCTCTACCGAGTTCCAGGACAGCCATGATTACACACAGAAACCTGTCTCCAAAACCAAAAACCTGCAGTTAGAGACCTGCTTTGTGACCAAGTATATGATCAATTTTGGAGAATGTTCCATGAAGTGCTGAGTTCTTTTTATGTTTCTCTTCAACAAATAATGCTGGTCTAATTAGAGCAGCAGATAGAAAAATGCAAATAAGATTGATATCTATCACCTTCCACAAAAATCAAGTCCAGTGGCTCAAAGACCTCAGCATAAAACCAGACACATGGAACCCAACAGAAGAGAAAGTGAGGATAGCCTTGAAGTCATTGGAACAGGAGACGACTTTCTGAATAGAAAGCCATTAGCACAGATGCTAAGATGGACAATAAATGGGACCTCATGAAACTGAAAAGCTCTTGTAAGGCAAAGGACAGTCAATAGGAAAAACAGAAAGGGAAAATATTTTCAACAATCCCAAATCTGACAGAGGACTAATATCCAAAATACAAAGAACCCAAGAAACTAGATATCAACAAACCAAACAATACAATTTAAAAATGGGGGACAAGCCCGGCAATGATGGTGTACACCTTTAATCCTAGCAATTGGGAGGCAAATTCAGATGGAGATCTGTGAGTTCAAGGACAGCCAGGACTGTTACGCAAGAGAAACACTGTCTGGAACCACCTCCCCAGGAGGAGTGAGGAACAGATCTAAACAGAGAATTCTCAACTGAAGAATCTCAAATGGTCCAGAAAGACTTAAATCCTTAGCCATCAGAGAAATGAAAATCAAAACTACTTTGAGATTCTATCTTACACCTGTCAGAATGACGAAGATCAAAAAAACAAGTGACAGGTCATGTTGGAGAGGATGTGGACCAAGGGGGACACTCCTCCATTGCTGGTGGGAGTACAAACTTGTACAGTCACTCTGGAAGTCAGTGTGATGGTTTCTCAGAAAACTGGGAATCAACTTACCACAAGACACAACTATACCACTCCTGAGGGTATACCCAAAGGACACCCTAACTAATCACAAGGACATCTGCTCAACTATGTTCATAGCAGCTTTATTCAGAATAGTCAGAAACTGCAAATGATCTAGATGCCCCTCAATTGAAGAATGGATGAAGAAATTGTGGTATATTTACATAATGGCATATAACTCAGCTATTAAAACAATGACATGTAACACAAATAAATAAATGACCAAGAGACTGATATTGGGGCTCAAGCTTCAAGCTGAATTTCAGAAAAGCAAAGCAGCTGGCCACTAGCTTCTTACCTCTACTTCAGGTTGAATGGGCTCAGATGTAACCTTTCCAAGCAGGGCTTGAGACTGAATGCCTCTCTGAGACCTGGCATCTGACTTATATTCTTCCCTAATGTTGGAATTAACGGTGTGAGCTAGAATTCTCTTTTAGACTGATTCACTCTTGTGTAGATCTGGATGGCCTTTGATTCACAGTCTATCCAGAGTCCTAGGATTAAAGGTGTATATACCACCACCTCCTGGCTTCTGGCTTCTGCAATTAAAGGTGTATGCCCGGTTTCTATAGCTTGCGGATGAACTTTGCTTTCTGAATTCTCAGGCAAGCTTTAATAAGTCCTAAACACTGTATCACCACAGTGACATCATGAAATTTTCAGGAAAATGGAATTAGAAAACAATCATCCTGAGTGAGGTAACCCAGACCCAGAAAGACAAACGTGGTATGTACTTACATCTACAGACCCACAGAGACTAGGTAATGAGAAAGACTCAAGGAGCAGGGGGGATCCTTGGATCTTTCTGGGAAGGGGAAATAGAACAGATATGGCAAGTGGAGACGGAAACAGGAGGGATCAGGTGGGGGAGGGTGGAGGAAAAGAGTACTGAGAGAGATCACTGGAACTGGGGAACATTTTGGGAGGTGATGTAGAAACCTAGTGCAGTGGAAACTCCCTTGATTCTATGTGATTGATTCTAGTGAAGTCTCCTAGTAATAGGAGATACAGAGCCTGAACTGGCCATCTTCTGTAACCAGGCAAGGCTCAACCTAGCAATAAATCAGAGGCAGGACAGCCCAGAGAACCAGGATAGAACCAAACACAACTGGCAAAAAAAAAAAAAAAAAAAGTCAATAAAATG